CAAACAAACAAACAAACAAAAAAAAAACAATGTAGGAAGTTAGCACTCAGCCCTCTCCTAAGAAAATGAAATATCCTAGGAAATATTGAAAAGGCAGAATATTATATTTCCCTGAATCAGAAATGGAGAAACATGTTTTTAGGCAGGAAACAGACTCACTCTTAATAGCCCCCACTTTCCTTAATAGCCCATTAAAATGCCCAAGCCTGTCTATTCTACATAATAAAGAGTTCTCCCCTTCAACTCCAGGGTGATGGGATTAAGGCATGATAATATTAGCATTCCACAGAAACTCACCACATGGCATCTGGAAACTCAAACTTGGCCCCACGGGAGTCTAACAACCAATCAGAATACATTTCTTACACAGGAACAGGAAACAGAGAGGTGGGGCTGAACAGAGCGTATAAAGCCAGGAACTTCCAGCCCTTCCCCCTCTTCTCCTCTTCTTTACCCAACATTGAAGCATGTGATCACTTTTTCTGTTCAGGACTGAAGCCATGTGGTCCTGTCCACCATTCAACCATCTTTCCAAGCAGCTTCCATGTCTCCAGTGTCTTTTTCCCCCACTTGGAGTTGAACTCAGAAGGACATTTCTTCCAACAGAGGTTTACAGAGTCAGCATATTGCCCCCAAACAACCAGGGTCCTCATTTTATCCACCTCGGAAGGATGGAAGGCTGAGTTAACCTGGAGCCAGTGAGAATCGAACTACTGGCAGTCAGCAAAATTAGCTTGCAATACTGCATTCTAACCTCTAAGCCACCACCGCTTTTAGGAGTTTAAACCAAACAGATGGAAAACTGAAGGAATCTGGACAGGCCTGGGTGGTGTCTCTGAGATGCAGAACCCTCCCATGGTCGTGAGAATCAGTGCAGCCCAAACTGGGAACCAGGTCAGGAGAGCCCCTATTGGGTTTTCTACATGTATCATATAGTAGAGACCTGGCATCATAAGGGACATGCACAAACCCGGATTCGAGGGCTGCACCACTGCCTCGTTTTGCTTCCCAGCTAATTGTACAAACCAGAATCCAAGGGATAATATACAACCATCCTTACTAGTAGCCACATTCTCCACGAACCCGGTCTTGTTGGCTCTTTAAAGGGGGCAGATTGGCAACACGTTTCATAGTTTTAAGTGTGCCCACAGTGTGGAAATTAGGCGGCGGAGTGTGTGTGTGTGTGTGTGTGTGTGTGTGTCTTAAGCTTTGCCATCAATTTGTTGAGATGGTCACAAGAACGGATCAAGCCAACAAGTTACATCGAGGGATGTTTGGGGAAAAAAATTACATTTCTTAAATTTAAAAATGGCATGTTGTTTTAACTTTACCATAATGTCTTATTACAATTGCAAGAGTGTTTTTGTCTTGGATAAAGAATAAAACCCCATCATTCTGCCAATTGTCAAGCAGTGGATTTAGGAAAAAAAAACAACTATGGAACATATCTTATTTTACCTTCATTCCACTGAGATATTTAGATATTCTCGTGTTTTATAGCAATAATTAATTTGGCTACTAACAGGAGGAATGATACATTTACTTTGTTTTGTTCTGACTATCAAATATGTGTGATAAACCTAATTGGAGAAAATTTAGTCTTCAGTTTTGTAATATACCACATCATAACCTAAAATATACAGTGAACGATTGCAGGAACTAGTCTAAAAAATAGGAGGACTAGGGTGGCATGATAGTAGTTTTCCAATTTTTGAGAGGCTGTCACAGAAGAATAGAATAGAATAGAATAGAATAGAAGAGTTAGAAGGGACCTTGGAGATCTTATAGTCCAACCCTCTGCCTAGACAAGAAACCCTATACCATTTCAGACAAATGGTTATCCAACATCTTAAAAACTTCCAGTGTTGGAGCATTCACAACTTCTGGAGGCAAGTTGTTCAGGAGATCAGCCTATTCTCCAAAGCACCCAAGGCAAGACAAGTAAGGGATGGCAATTATCAAAGATAGATCTAACCTAGAATTAAGAAGAATTTCCCTAATAGTGAGAACAATTAATCAGTGCAATGGCTTCCCTCCAGAAGTTGTGGGTACTCCACAATGAAAGTTTTAAAAAAGAGATTGGATAGCCATTTGCGCATATGAGAATTTTCTTGATTGCTGGTTCAACTGGAATTTTCTTCCTCTTCCAGTTGAACCAAGAGAACAGGGGATATGGATGATTCCTCTTTTACCGTCTCCAATTTTTTAAGATTCAGCAAATGTCACATGTGTGCACACTTAACAATACCGAGGACACTTTAATAAAAACATTCAAAGCAATGAAAATACTTTTTTTCACTCCAGATAAAAACATTAAAAGGCACTTTACTTATATATATATATATACACACACAATGCTTTAAGAAATAAAATATTTACATTTTATAATTGAGATACAAGTGTACAATCAATGTATTAAAAGTTGCAAATATTGCACTTAGATTAGAAGTCTGAAAGATAAAGACTAACCTCGTCCTCATTTCTGAATAGAAAAATCAATTTTTGAATCAAAGTAATGACTGCTATAATTTACCCAAAAGCTGTAAACGTTTCAACATTCAATAGTAATAATGAAGGAATGTACCAAATCCATGTTCCTTAGAGATCCATTCAGCCACCTACACAAATGTGAGGAATAGTCGTGAATATTGAAACAGGGTCATTTGGTGAACGCTGAGAGTATTGAAATGTAAACCATTTTTAAGTCCCAACACATTGAAATGTGTAGATGAATACATTTTTAAAAAGAACATTGTCCTCTTTTTTTACTATTAAAAACATCATGTTATAGATTCATCATAAATGCAAATTATTCTCTTGCTTCAGCTAGTGCTTCAAACGGTGCTTCTCATTCCCATAAACAAGATGTATGACTCCCTCTGGTGAAGACGCATTTGATTACGAACATGTGCCCAAATATCTGAACATGATTAAAAGCACGCAGCCCTGATCAACCAGTATAACTTTTCATGAATAGTGCATTATGCTCTTTCTTTCATAGATCTCACAGGTCTATAGCACGGGAGCAATTTTTGGTGTGGGATAAACCTTCACACATCTCTTTTGTCACATAAACGTGGTGAAATTGGCGTTGTCGTCTTCAAGCATGATGCTGCTCAGATATTCCTCCTTCATACAAATCATTCCAACATAAAAGTTAGTGCTATATAAAAATCGCCTCCAGTTGTTTAGTGACTAGACGGCCATTTCCCCTGACCAAGAACAAGCCAAGGATGAAATCAACCAACATATCCAAGAGGAAACCCTTCACTGATTACCTCTGTCTTTCCCATTTCTCAAACCAATACAAATAACACAGTAAGATTTGGAGTAAAGGTGGAAAGGCACATTAACTCTTGCTGCTACAAAGCTGCTACACGTTTAGAGAGGGGAGACCCCCACAATGCCCAACGTGAAAATATATAACAAGTTATTGTTTTCCTGAAAATATATAACACGCTATTGTTTTCCTGAAGGAACCTCTGGTGAAGACATCTTGAATTACAAACTTGAACGCTGCTGAGCTTTCTCTCCCCAAATGTCTGAACATTACTAAGAGCATGCAGTTCCGATCAACCAGTACAACTTCGTTGGATAGTGCATTATGCTCTAAGTGCTTACAATATAAAAATGCACAGCTAGTTGGAGAAACATCATTCTTAGGCTGCCAAAGAAGAATGATATGATGGTAGAATAAATTAATGGAAAGAAATGGCACTCGGAATTATGTTGTCGTGGAGTGGTTCATCTTTGGTGCTGAGGCGTAAAACCTCTGTGGGAATTGTTTTTCTTTAAAAAAAAAACTGTTTAAAAACAGCTTAAAATTGTTGGTCTTGAAGTCCAAGGCATAAGGATATCCTTCAGTTCCAAATAAAAGCAATGTTTATGCAAGGACAGAGAATTAAAAATATTCAGCCATTCGGCCTGTCCAATTTTAGTCCCAAACAAAGCAATTGAAAAATAAAAATAATTAAGACTCCCTTCATAATCCTGCACACATTTTTTCAAAAAAGAAAAAGAATCCTTCGTCCTTGGTAAGAAAAATAAACTTTTGGTGCTATCATTCCTCTCCTTTCTGTGGGATTGGGGAAATCATCAACTGTTTTCTTCAGCTCGTCTAATTTCAGCCAAATTGCTGCCCAAAACTGCTGTTAGGGAGGCTCGCCTTCGCCGCATGATCCGCCCAGAAGCGATGAGGTCAGCGTAACCTCGCTGATGGGAGAAAGCATACGCAGAACGACGACCAGTTACCCCGCGACGGATAACGCTCTGCCTTCGCTTCCACTTCACCTCTTCGGCCTTGTACTTTTGGCGATTCTTCC